ATTTATCAGACAGTGCAGGATAGAGTCTTTGCCCCTCCCTGCTTCAATCCCTGTTTAAGACATTCTTTGCTTTGCATTTCTGGTAAGTATTAAAGCAAAAAATCAAATCTGAAGCCAAATACAAATATTTTTAAACATCTATACTTTCAAGCAAAAGCAAGGGGCAAACAATTCAACATTAAGTGGAAACACTGATGAACTCAATAAAATGATGTTTAATATGGGCCAAATGCTATAGTCATGACTCAGGCAGAATACTGATTGAATGGGAGTTTGCCTAAGTAAGAATAGCTGTATTATCCCTAAATAAGAGCCACTAAAACATCAATTGTGTTGCAGCAATGGGTTTAGGACACAGTACTGTGACATTTTGCATTGGAAGGAAATCATCACACTAAATTACAGTACGTTATTCTCACTGATGAGAATTACTGCAGTAAGTGATGAGACTGATTGAAGTACATCTATAGCAGGGGTTCTTCAACTGGGGCTCGTGATCCTTCAGGGGGTCACAAGGTGGTTACATGGAGGTTGAGAACTGACAGCTCCCAGCCCCCATTAAATTAAATTATTCTCCCCCACCCCCCATTTTTAATGTAGAAGGGGAGAATCACACTCAGAGGCTTGCTGTGTGAAAGGGGTCACATACAAAAAGTTTGAAAACCACTGATCTATAGAGAATAAAGTTCCTCTTTTTTGATTCCATGGGAAACATCTCATTTAAACCCCCCAAGGGTTTTTAATATTGGAGGAACTTGAAGGCTTCTCAGCCAAAGTCCAAAACCCCAGCTTCCTAGTCACCAAACTGCTGTGGGGCAGGGGAAACATGAGAAGCCTTTTATTTTTGCAGTTTCAGTCTTGATTATTGCACAAGATTTTCTTAGGACCTTAATTGTCATAAGCAGCTAATCCTTTTAGGTTAGAGATTCAGAATGCATCCGTTCTTGGCAACAGACTTTACACTCTGACTCTCCAGCTCCCAGCGCCAAGGAGTTAACAGTGATTTGTTTGACTTGGTTCCACTGCCTCACATAAATAGCACGTAATTTCTAATTTCACACAGTCAAGATGGCCAGAAAATCCAACCACAAGCAAGTTCTTCTTTTCATTGATAAAATTTGAATTCATGCTACTTATGGAATGTACAGTGTTTCTCTAATCCCAGTCCTGTGTCCAATGGAGGAAATGAAAGGCATGTTTTTCTTCTGAACAAGAAACCATTGTATCTGTCTAATTACTATATACTTTTGTGATAATTATGCTGGGTAAAATGATGTGTGTTTGCTAAGTGCTTTGCACAACTCAAGGTGTGGAGTTATTCCCGTTAACACACATCCTGAAGTGCATGTATAATTGCCATTATAAAACAGCATTCAGCCTGAATATTATTTTAACACAGAAGACCAGATCCTACATTGCTTGCATGCCCCAAGTTCAGTGATATTAATGGAACATTTAGAATGAGGCCCATAAAGAAGAGAAGATTGAGCCCAGAGAAGTCAATCTGGCCTTCCAACCTGTGGCATTCATTGGCATGCATATATATATAATTAGATGCTCTGAAAGTCTACTCAATCATAAATAGAAATATGTATTGGAGGGTGTAGTAAAGCCATAAATAAATGTATTGTAAAATAATGTATTGTATTATCCCCTACACTTCCTGGGATGGACAGAACAGAAGTCAGGTTGTGGAAGGAGGCCGTGCAGTCTTCATTGCATCATTCCTCTCTTCCCTTGGCCCACAGAGACTCTTTTGAAAGTGCCACAGAGGGATATAGGTTTTCTGTGTGAGGTTATGGTGTGCTGGTTTGGGGATGCAGGGACAGCTGCAACAACATCACCATATTTCCTTGAAATACTCCAGATTTTTGCAGTAAGTTAGAGGGTCTCTGTGTGGATGGCCTGTGCTTCCAGGAAACCACAGGCCTAGAGTGAAAACCCCTACCATTCATAAAAACAATTTTCTCAACACCAGCACCCCCATCTAGCACTTCCCCCGGGGGAACAACAACAACAAATCCAAAATTCAAAGACAAAACAAAAAGACCTGAAATAAACAAAACAGCCAAAAAAACAATCCTAAGAAAGGAGATGAGCCAGAGACTCTGTAAAAACCACTAGGGACTCTACTGTTGCTAAGTTATTTCACATAGAAGGTCCTCAGATACTACAGTCATTGGCAGCAGTAGAAACTCTAAGATAGATAGATCCATGGTTGAAGGATAAACCTAGTTTCCAGACAGAAATCCAAGGAAACTTCACAAGTCTAAAGCTGTGGTTTCCCCGCATCTACACATGAGTAACCTGTGCAGCAGAATGATCTAGCTCATTGTAAACATGTATACAAAAACAATTTCTTAATGATTATTAGTATAGTACATGAACAACATTTCATTGTTTAAAGTTTTATTAAGAGATGATTTAATGTAATTATTTATTAAAAAATAAAATGGTTTCTTACAGATAAAAATAGTCTTTATACCAATATTTTATGTCAGTTTAACTTTCAATTCAAAGGATCCACAAAGCTCCCTCTAGAGTAGCCACTTCATCCATCATTAAAACACAATCATTTCTGGTTTGGAGCATGAGAGCTGTTTAATATAGTTCACCGCAACACTTCACAACCACTCATGACAATAAGTGAAGAACAATACCACAACCACTTGCAACTGCAGTGGTAGATTTCCTTTCTTAGTTGTTATCTGGCCAAGACATCAGTACTAAGATCAAAATTCTTGTTAAAGAAGTCATGAGACCTTTATTTTTACTGACTTTATTATGCTACTTGATTAAAGTAAAATATTAGATTTAGAATTAAAAAAAAACATGCACACAAAAACAATATAGAGTTTTGAGGGGGAAGTAGAAAACTTTTGATCTATACTTTAACGTTTCATTACACCTTGTGTTCCATTTCACGTCTTTTAGGGATGGACATGAGCATGATTTCTTCATCTCTTTTCATTGTTATTTATATTAAAGTAGCAGAGGCCATTCAGGAGTAAGGCACTATCATAGTGGGCCCTGTGTAACTGCAAACCAAGACCGAGTCCCTGCCCCCCCAAAGAACTTTCAGTCTAATTTTAAAAACAATGAGTGATTATAATTATCAGAGCGAGCACAAAGGTAACAGTGATAAGCATATCCAGTTACATAATCTTGCTGTGGGCGGAATAGATTGTTTAAAGCCATTATTTATTTATTTTAAATACTAAGATATAAATTCATAGGCATCCCTGACAGACAAGACGCTTGAATCTGCTGTGGCGAAGAAGAGGGAGCCATGATCACACTTGCAGGTCAGGAAGATAATTTTAACCATCACAATCCCTACTTGATTCTGGAAGGCAGTGAAGGCTAAGCCCTTTTTGGCTTCCAAACCTAATTAGACACTTACATTTTATGGCATTTGTCTTTTAGGAAAGATAAAAACATAAAAAAAAGTTGTTAGGCACTATATTTACTGAGAAGCAGGGGATCACAAAACACATGAAGCCAGCCCACTGTAAAGATTTTTCCTGCTATCAGGATGTATTGTTCACCCATATTTACTCTGGCAACTATGCTGGCAGGTATTGTGTTGGATCCTGGTGCATGACCCCTGCTGGCAATCAGCACAGTCCCAAACTTAGGTGAAGGCAGGCTAGAAAATGGGCATAGGCAGGGCAGCCAGGAAGCCCTATTTTTTTTTAAATTGAGATATCCTATCTCCTAGAACTGGAAGGGACCTTGAAAGGTCATCAAGTCCAGCCCCCTGCCTTCACTAGCAGGACCAAGTATTGATTTTGCCCCAGATCCCTAAATGGCCCTCTCAAGAATTGAACTCACAGCCCTGAGTTTAACAGACCAATGCTCAAACCACTGAGCTATCCCTCCCCACCTATTGTATCTCCATTTACATTCATTTCCTGGTTTTACTTTCTTATAATCCTGATATTAGACCCAGTCCTACAGAGAGGTCCCATTGGCTTCAATGGGAACACCACGTGCAGATTGAGCTCTTTTGGCCTCACTCAACCAAACTACTATCTACTTCAATGGGAGTTTTGCATAAGGCCAAATTCTAACCTCCCGCACAAAATCTTACAGAGGGCACTTTAAGGGGGTGTGGAATCCTCCCCGCACCCTCAGGATGGGGAGTATAGGCAGGAGTGCCTGAACCGTTGGGGGGGGGGGGGGGGAGAGAAGGAGGCACAAGGCCCGCCCATCTCTGTGGCCCCACCCCCTACTCCTCTTCTTCCCCCCCCAAGACCCTGCCCCCTGGCCAGGCCGGAAATCAGAACTGGGCAGTGGAAGTCAGAGCCGAGCAGCTCTTACTACTGCCCAGATCTGGCTTCCGGCTTGGCCAGGGGGCAAGATGAGGAACAGGGGTGGGGCCATAGTGTGGGGCCAAGACTCGTGGTGGGGGGGGACTAAAGCCCACCTCAGCCCCCCTCATCCCCCCGGGAAAAAGCTAGTGTTGGTGGCAGGGGCTGTGCTTCACGGTGGGGAAGTGAATCACCTTATCAGCTCCCCCATGGCGCCATTGAGGCTAGCAGTTTGAGGGGGCAATGTGGCCCCCTGCTCCCCCCCACTATGCTCATGTTAAAAACCAGGTTCCAGTGCCCCTGAGTACATGTGTTCCACACTTGTACTTCAATTCCCTTGCTATTACTGCCCACTAAATCCAAGTCATCACTTTTCCTCTCACAACGCATCGCCTCCCCCCAGCCTGTATCCTAAAGCCCTTCCTTATATGCCCTCACAGAGCACTGCTCCTCAAAGCACAGGAGATGTGCATTCTCTCTGTGTATCCTCTTACCATCCAGGCTCCCCCTGGAAGAACAGATAAGCAGTGGTTCCTCTGTATTTGGGCTTGCCAAACAAATAGGATATTTTGGGAGCAGAACTGCTTAATGGGTTTCACTGTAAATATATCAGTGTTAGAGCTTCTCAACCTCTGACATAGATGGGTTCATGGTAGTCCCTGATTAAAGAGAGAACTTTCAACAAACCTTCTGTCTTCTTCCAGTAGACTTTGACCTGAAGCTGATTATCTTGATAGAAAGGAGCTCCAATTTCAAGAAGCCGAGCCGGTCTCCTTCTTTGAAAGGGTGGAAGAGGATCAGCTAGTCCTTTCCGCATTTTCCCAATTGGAGAGGTCTGTTCTTCTACAACATACAACACCATCAAGAAATATCTTGGTTTAATACAATATACAATATAACTTACAGGGTGTGGGTGCTACGTTGAAATAAATATGCCTTTGGTATACTGAAACAGCTTACTAACATATGTCAGTATTTAGGAACAGAATTTGAATATACCCCAGGCATCCTCAGTTTAAAAAACCAGTAGTATTGTATCCAAGCTTTGAATCAGCACTTTCACAACCTGAAACTTGTAGATTCCATTTAGGGGACAATTTTTACATCTGATTATGAAACATGATATATTTAATTAATTACAGTACTTGAATGGAAAGTAAAGATGCAAATGATCAAGAAGCTGCTGAGGAATCGACAATATATTGCAAAGAAAGGAGAGGAAACTCAGGTTTGATTTATTCATTAAAATAATTGGATAAAATGTAAATGTGAAGGTTCTGCCTTATTTACAACTAGTTTCAACTAAAGCACCAATTGCTTAATGTTCATCAAATAAGTTGTAGTGCCTCGTTCCTTTCCTTAATCAACTTCTTCCTGTCCTTCTTTTAAGAAAAATCAAGCAATCACCAAATGTGGATAATTTTATTCTTTACACACACACACAAATGTCTATAGTGTGACTTTATCATGACAAATTATAAGCGGGTTGTAAAGTGATACAAAGAAGGAAAAACAAAAATTGGACCCATAGGGTGTGTTTTGGTTTACAGGTGCATGTCCTGTTCTTCCCTCTATTGAGCTGTCCATTCTTGGGAACAATCAGGGGTTTGAATAAGACAATCCCTACATATTGATCACTTCAGAAAGAGGTATTCATGTTGTATGTTTCACAAGAATGAAACAGACAAGCAGAGTGGAATGATAAGGTAATATGTTTCTGAGCATGGAGAAACCCCTTAGGGTCTGATCCAAAGCCCACTGAAGTTAATGAGAATCTTTCCATTAACTTCAATTACCTTACTGGGCTTTGGATCAAGTCCTTTGTTTTCTGTAGTTGGCTATCTAGCTGAAATGGTGGAACCAAAAAGATTTTCAAGATTAGGAGGCTGTGGTGCGTCTGCACCACACTGGCAGAAGAGGTGAGCCCCAGGGAGGCTGCACAGGAGGCAGCCAATTAGGAAAGGGCTTGTAGAGACAGCCAATCAGGAGAAGGTTTAGAGAGACAACCAATCAGGGCCAGGCTGGGCCATATAAGAAGCAGTGGCGTAGCCAGGTGGAGGGAACAGGGGAGCGATAAAAAAAAAAAAGGCGCCACCCACTGCGGCGCTTTTACTCACCCGGCAGCGCTCCGGGTCTTTGGTGGCGGGCCCTTCACTCACTATGCGTCTTCGGCGGCATTTCGGTGGCGGGTCCTTCAGTGCTGCGGAGCGAGTGAAGGTCCCACCACCAAAGTGCCACCGAAGACCCGGAGCGCCACCAGGTGAGTAAAATAAAAGCGCCGCAGTGGGTGGCGCCTTTTTTTTTTATCGCTCCCCCGGGTGAGTAAAAAGGTGCCAAGAAATTGATAAAGCGCCAACTTGTGCTCAGTGGGGGAGTGGCCGCTGCCCCGCTCCCCCCCACCCCAGCTATGCTACTGATAAGAAGGGCTGCTGAACAGAGCAGCTTGAGTCACTCCCTGGAGTTTGAGGAGGGAGGACTGGCTGCCCTGAAGGATGGGGAAGAGACAGCACCATGGTCTGAGCAGTGCTGGATGGGCAGAAGAGCATGAGTGAACTCCCGGCTGACCCCTGCCAGACTGAGGCCTTGATACAAGGGTGGAGAAGGTGCTAGGGCAGCGGGGAAGAGGCCCAGGGAAACAGATGGTGGGGGCTGGAGGTGACGCAGTGTGTGACTGCTGCCCCTACCCCCCTTGGCCTCAGTTGCCACTGATGCAGGTGGCTAGACCCTGTACTGCAGCCTGCCACTGAGGCAAGTGGCTGGTCAGAGGGCTGCCGGCTCTCCCAGAAGCAGGGGGAGAAAACCAAGTGGGGCACAGCTGGAGGGCTGTGTCCAGAAGAGGACACCGCAGTCCTGAGAGTGACACAGGTCCTCACGACAGAAACAACAGTGGTGAGATGCCACTTGATGAAGGGGCACTGGTGAATAGGAGCTAATTGCCAGGATGGCCAGTAAGAGGCGCTGCAGTGGTGAGTGACACACCCCGTTACAGAGGCATGCTCCAATATGTCATGATAGGTAAAATTTGGCTTGTCATCCTTGAAAAGTTATTTGCAGTGTTGGTCCCATGATGTTAGAAAGACAAGGTGGGTGAGGTAATATTGTCTACTGGACCAACTTCTGTGAGTGAAAAAGACAAACTTTAGAGCTACGGAGCTGTGTAGTGCGAAAGCTTGACTCTTTGACCAACAGAACTTGGTCCAGTAAAAGATATTACCTCACCCACCCTATCTCTCTAAGTATCCTTGAAAAGTGTCTCTTTGGCAATGAGAAATTATAATATTTATTTAGCAAAAATACTCTGAAAATTAATGATATCTCCTTTAGAATCAGGCACTAGTGATATATCCTATAATGAGGCACAGGCTGAATTTAAGGGAATTAAGCCCCAAATTCCCGCTGAAATTTAGGTCTACTTTCTTAGATTCATCAATTCCAAGGCTAGAAGGGAGCATTGTGATCATCTAGTCCAGGGGTAGGCAACCTATGGCACGCTTGCCAAAAGCGGCACGCGAGCTGATTTTCAGTGGCACTCACACTGCCCGGGTTCTGGCCACAGGTCCAGAGGACTCTGCACTTTAATATAATTTTAAATGAAGCTTCTTAAACATTTTAAAAACCTTATTTATTTTACATACAACAATAGTTTAGTTAAATATTATAGACTTATAGAAAGAGACCTTCTAAACACGTTAAAATGTATTACTGGCACGCAAAACCTTAAATTAGAGTGAATAAACGAAGACTCGGCACACCACTTCTGAAAGGTTGCCGACCCCTGATCTAGTCTGACCTCCTGTATAACACAGACCATAGAACTTCTCCAAAATAATTTCTAGAGAGTATATTTTAGAAAAAAAAAATCCAATCTTGATATTTCATCCAATCTTCATTTACCTCTTCTGAATGAATTTAGATTAGAACACTAACGAACAACAGGAAGGAAAAATAATGCTGACAACCAAATTATAGAGGCTTTGAATATCATATACAATGGTGTATGCTAGATCACTTTATAGTGTGAGAATAAATGGTCTGTAGTAGATATTTTCTGGCATTTTCCATACTGATTACTTTCATACACAACAGCAACTACAATATATAGTACAATCTATAAATTATGTATACTTAAGCATTGCAAAAATCTCTGGGCTAGATTCTCAATTGATGCAAACTGATGTAGCGCCACTGAAGTCACTAATGAATAAATAACAGCTAACACAATCATAATATTCATGCAATATTTAGGTTTCTGTGAATATCCTCACACACACGTGCACGCAAGCTGTTTATGCAACTATTCATGAAAAAATGAACAAAGAGTTGTGAATCAAAGTGAATTGAATTGATTTGTTGTCAAAATGAAATCACAGGTTTTAATTAAATTAATGTTCTTGAATATTTGTATGAAATCTACTAAAGAAAAGAACAGAGGTTTGAGACCAACCAGAAGTATAGCTCAGTCATGTACTTGGATTTAAAAAACCCTAAAAACCCAGTCAAAGCAATAGCCTAAAAATTCACCAAAGTAATATTAAACCGATCATGAGCAAAAAGCAATCAGAGATGAAGTAGATAGCAGACTTCACAGAAATATAATCCAGTCTATTTTCTGAAGCTATAGAGGGTAAAAGAGTCAAGGAGAGATCAGACTATCCCAAAGAAACTGTAGAAGAGAATTTAAAGTTAGTTGTGGTGATGAGTTCCACTGAAGTGAACAGTAATTGATGAAACCACACAACTCACATATGCAGTTTAGAATAAATGAACCCCTGTTGGTAAAGATTTTGTAAGTCAAATATGATCTGCATTGGAGTCTGGAAGCAGAAAAGTGTCAGAGGGTAAAAAAGGAAAGTGAAGAAAACATTCTCCTTCCCTTCTCTTCCTTCTCAGCAACACGACCTGTTAGTGAACTCAGCAGTGAGAGTGCAGAGGTGCAGTGCAACACAGACTCTAGGGGCACTTTTGGGTACCGGTGCTGCAGCAACACAGTGCCCAAAACAGTGAGCCAGATTCTGACATTAGTGAAACCAGTCTGAATCCAGAAGACAATCCACCAAACAAAAAGGAGATTTTCTAGATTTACACCAATGGAAGACAGATCACAATCTGCCCAGTGACTATGCTGAAAACTATCTAATAACAACATTAAATACTAATTCATAGCACTGATATACCAACTTTCATCAAAGAACCTCAAAGTTCTTATGAAAAATAACTAACTGAAGTAGAAATGTAGATGTTATTATCCCCATTTTATAGATGAGGAAAGAAGTTTCTTGTGAAAAGTCACTCAGTGAGCCAGTATCCAAGGACAGGACTTTTAGTCCCTGATCTCAATTCAGTATTCTAATCATTTGATCATATATCATTGTGTCTATAGTTTACATGGTTAACACTGTTCTATGAAGTTTTTACTTTAATTCAAACTCATTTGATTAGTTTTATGATCAAAATCTACTTATTATCTGCAACAGATCTGCTAAGTCTTACATAGTTGGGGTTAATTTTAAAAGCATTTTTAACCAGAATTTCACTATGATGATGATGAATTGTGAAATGTTTCAATAACACATTGCCAGTCCCCTACATATTTTCTTGGACTCTTGCTCATATCAAATATTGCCACTATGAGCCTTGCTTCAGGGGACAGATAGCGCAATAATTCAGAGCATTTGGCCTTTTCAGTCTGCATTCATGCCTTTGCTATAAGACAAGCAATAGCTCTGCTTATGTTTGAACTACCCAGTTTTGTGATCTGTTACTACAATCTGTATAACCAGTAAAGAGATTTTGCTTACAAATTCTGGGCTGAGTCTGTTCCCATGAAAATAAATGGTAAAAGTCCCACTGAATTCAATGGGAGAAGGACTAAGCCCTTAATTTGCAGTGCTTTGGAAACTTCATCCAAAATCAGCCTAAGCATTTTCGTATGTTTCAGTATTGCCTGTTCTCATGATTTTATGGCAAGTCTCACAATATTTGTTGATTTTCTTTAAAAAGCCTTAGAATCATAATATTATGTGAGAATCTCTGCTTTCGTTTTTTAAAAAAGTAAGGCCCAGATCTCAAAGGCATTGATTTCAATGGGAGTTAGGCACCCAAATGCCTTTGAGGATCTCGGTGTACGTTTCTAACCTTCATAGTTGCGGAGAAAAGCTTAAAAACATGAACTCTAACAGCACAGAAAGGAAAAAATGCCCCCCGCCCCAAATAATTACTATTAATCTTATGGTTTTTAAAATAATCTCATGTTTTTTTATAGCCTGTCATATAATTTTTGAAAGCTTGGGGCTGGCAATTCTGGGGCCTGCCGAACAATTTTTCAACCTTTACTCTCACCCACCCACATACACACACACACCCCAAGCACAACTTACGTACTCACAGCAATGACACTTCTGTAAACAGATCTAGCCTGAGGGCTTGGAGAAAGATAGCAAAATAATCCTTTGGGGTATATCCAAATGTAACTGATTCATTTCATATAAAAATAATGTATGTGTGTTGCAGGCGGAGGGGGAAGGAAACTCAGTTCCGTCTCTCCCTCCTGCTTCAGGAAAACAAAAGCACCATTGTTTATAATGGGGTTTTTGCATATTTGTCAACTTTTATATCTAGGTATATATAGAATATATCTTATTTGTATCCAAAACAGACTGAACATGCTTGCTGAGCGGTCCAACTACATTAGCACTCAGACTGGAATACAGAAGGATATAAGAGTTAGAAAAACTGTTGCGATTAATTTTAATTTTGCTTATAACGTAAAAGGGAAACTAATGCGCAAGGAATGAAAGATGGGAAGAGCAAAGATGGGTAAAATGGCAAACTTTGGAAACTGTTTGGGCTCTAATCCTGAAAACTATTACTGTCATAAGCATCAATGGTTGTATTTGGTTAATCAGATGACACATCAGCAGTTGGAAGGGCAGATCGATCGTGACCTTGACCTTAGACAAATTATTATTCAAAGAGTATTTAACTAAGATTGAGTGTCACAGTATAGGCCCCTCGGGATTTAAAGAATTTTCCACTGTATTGTTTAGCATGTGAGTTTAGTTTAAGAAAGAACTTAATACCTCAAGACTTCATCTTGAAGGTAGGTGCTGTGCATGTGATACAAGTTTGTGATTAACTTCTTGTCAACCAGGGACACACAGTTTTATGTTTTAAGATCTTAGTAGGAGAATCAATTCTTTGTCTGAATCCACAGGATATATAAATTTGGACTAAGATCTGAATTTATGGGCTACCTGAAGTTGCCAACATTTTAAAAACTTTTGCAAGGGAAAATTGTACCATTAAGTCAGTGCTCTGAGATTTGCTTCTGCTCTATTTATTGGGAAGTTTAATGTGTATTTGGGGGAATTTGATCACTAATATAATACTATGACCCTGATCTTGCAAATATGCACATGCTTAACATGTTTATTTTTTAAGTAATTTTCAAAACAGGTGAGGTAGATAAGATTTATAGCCCCAATTTACAGATGAGGAAACAAAGACAGAAAAGTTAAGTGACTTGCCCAAGACCACAGAGGCATGGTATTATACAGCCACCTATAATGGGTGTTTTTTTGTTTGTTTGTTTTAAATTGGAGAAATCATCAGTTAAAACAGAGCGTAAGAGGAATTGGATGCAGTTACTTACTATTAATAGTTGTTTGAGTTGAGCTGAAATAGAGAGACACCTTGGCGCTTTTTAGTCGTACTTGTCCCCAGTATGTTACTGCCTGCAGTTCCACCATGTAGTTGCTGTTGGGTTGCAGTCCTTCCAGGACCACATAATTTCGGGACTATAATGGAAGAGAATATACACGCAGAACAGTTATGGGATCACTGAAACACTGGCTCTTATTAAATTAAAAGCAGGCCTATTGTCTTAGGCACACAGAACTCTTGTTGGAATGAGAAAGAATTATTTATAAATTTCACCAGAACTCAACTTGCTTTCTTCTTTGATTTTTATTTCATGCTTTCTTTCATTTAGACTCTGTTTTGCTGTGTTGTTTTTAAAATGCTAAACTTAGTGATGTCTTTAGTAAATACAGGCATCAACTGTTTAAGCCAAGACTAAATTTCTTTTTATATGTATAACAAGTTTTTCTGATGCCAAAAAGAATTTGGCCAGTGAAATCTAAACTTTGTGTTTCCCAGCTCCTGGACAGGCTCGATTAGCTAAGCAACAGGAAGCTTTGTCTAGAGACAGCTAGTCTGAGGACAGATAGAACATACTGTGCAGTATATTGAACAATATCTTTCTATTTGCTTCTGTTGCTAAAATACCAACAAGAGTACTTTTCATCTTTGTTATAGAAAGAAAAGAAACAAACAAACAAAAAACCCAACAACAACTCAGTTCTCCAATGTCACCGCATGGAGAGGCACATGAACTGGATTTTCATTCTCTAGTTAACAATCCACAAAGTAGATCAATTCCCATAAGACTGCAAACAAGAGACATAGCCTTTCTGAATTCTATCCATTTTTTCATAGACTTATTTCTAAAAATGCACCCATTGTATATTTCGCCAGGCACAAATTTTACTCTGTTAAGTATCAGGGGGTAGCCGTGTTAGTCTGTATCTACAAAAACAACAAGGAGTCTGGTGGCACCTTAAAGACTAACAGATTTATTTGGGCATAAGCTTTCGTGGGTAAAAACCTCACTTCTTCAGATGCATTTTACTCTGTGTTTTTATTCTGAATTCCTTGTTACTTCTCTAGCTTTCTTGTGTCAACTAGGAGTGGCGTGTCAACTATGCAGAGTCATATTTAACACCAAATAGTATGTTAGTACTAACTAAAAGTACTGAAAATTAACAATCATTACTTGGTTTGTTCAGAGATTGATATAAAATTGATTAAGCCTCTTGATTTCCTCAGTTCATGTGGTGGCACTCTTCATTTTTAAATACTGTAGGCCAAATTCTCTACTGGCAACTCCACTGACTTCATATAGATGTAATCATAAAAGCATGGATTGGATCACTTCTAAAAGCAAAATTGGTTAAAAAGTTTCAGAGTGATCTTATCAAATCAGAGGAATACATCTCTCCATCCCTGGAAATGTGCAATTTTGTTTTTTAGAAAAGTTGTTCTAATATTTAATGGGTCATTGATTAGAACTGACTTCAGTGGAGTTCCATCAGGGAATGTTCCCCTTTACTACTATCACTTTAAAGCTTTCACAGTATGCTGTAAAAGAAAAAAGCACGATGAGATACCTCTCTGCAGAGGTATAATAGGGGCTAATCTCTGTTTTTGGATGAATGTGCTTAGTTGTCATAGGCTTCAATGATAGCTGTGAACATATATGACGGCCAGAACACGGATCTACTAACAAAAACGTGTCACCTTGTATGATGGAAAACTGAGATAATGATACTTAATCCTTTGTAAAGTGCTTTCAGATCTACTGATGAAAAGTGCTATATAAGAGCAAGGTATTATTTATTATCTGTTCTTAAAACATCTTGATGTAATATACTTCCTACTCATACATCTAAAGTGGTTTTAATTAAAATAACACTAAGGATCCAGTTCTATTTAAAATTTCCTTCATTTTGTGATTTAAAGGACAGCCTCACTACATACCTGGCTAGGGATCCATGGGATTGGGGCCTCTTTGGTTGAAGATCTCTGACCTATAGTACTTTACCTGGGAACTGCAGACTTCACTACCTGCCTTTTATATGCCAGCTCTACTCCTGTGTCACCCAGTGGAATACACAGTGGTTCTAAGACAGCAGAGATACCCTGGAATACTACCCTCCCTTTCTAGGTGTTTTTACCATGGGGCTTTGAATTGAAGAATAACACATAAAACCAGAGTCTCTGGTCCACTAAGTCCACTTTATGTCATGTAAAACATGGCTAGAAATAGCTAGTGAACTGCCCTTGCATAGGGGAACTCTCTGCTGGTGGAACTCTGGTGCTCCCCAATCTGCATGAGGGGACTGGGGCATGTGTCAATGGTGTTCCAGGGAGTGATTCCAGGGAACAGAGCTCCATTATGCCTGATCCTCTGTCATAGCAGAAATTAGAGTAGGCCCCCTGCTGCTCTCACTTCCACTAGGGCCAGGTGGCTGAGGATCAGAGAGCTGAAATCACCTCCCTGTGGCCCAACACTGCACTACGTTCTCAGATGTAGTGGAGAATCAGGACCCTAATATATTGCTAGTATATTGCTTTTAATGTAACTAAGACAAGAGTCTAGCCCATGTCCTTTAATTGTTTCTATTTCTATTACCTATTAAGCTATTATAAAAAGAAAATGCAATGTGGCTAAGGGGATCACGGCAGCTAGTTTTTCATTAAACCAATGTGTTACATATCAATTCACATCTTCTCCTATGGAAATATTTCAGTGCATTGGTACAGTAGGATTATTTAAGAAGGATTTTGTTATTATCTTGGACCTACATGATAACTAATCCATCAGAAATGACTCTGATATGAGCAAACATATCAGAGATCCCTTGATATAATGAAATAACTATGCTATAGATGACATTTTATTAAATGAGCATTCCATCATTCAGAGGCTTCCAGTAAAATAAGCCTTATGTTAGAGAAATAATTAGTGTTATATATTAATTGTACATCTACAATAGATTCCAGTTTATCTGGATTTAGACTCTTAAAATATTTCCATCTGTATATATGGTTCAATTCTGCTGTCAATCAGCACTTGCTCCTCTCTTTGACTTCAATGAGCATCTACAGAACAATAGAAATGCTTATTTCTAAAAGCAAAACTGGCTAAAAAACTATCAGTGATCTTCTTGAAAATTAAAAGGAATACACCTTTCCATCCTATTTATTTATGTGACTTCACATTTATTTGGTACAGCGCAATTTTGTTTTTTAAACCAGAAATATGTTTTAATATGCCATGACTGATTAGGAGCATTTGTGCCTCATTTTCCAGTTTGCTCCTTACCCCATCAGTAGTCTTCCTTCTTTTCTTCTTAGCTGGGATGACAGACTTGCTGCTGACTGTCCAGCTCCAGAAGACTTTGTAGTGATGAACTGGGATATCAGGTTCTTCTGGGAGATCCCAAATAATCCTTACAGTTACACTTCCATCATTATTTGTAGTGGAGTTGGCAATTCTGAGATTAGCTGGGGCTGGTGGAGCAGATGGGTCTGGAGTAAAAAACAAAACAAAAAACCCCAAGAATATGAAGTAATATGGATTAAGTAAAGATGACTTTTCTCAGTAACTATTCTACAGATTTAACTGCTGAACTCATAACACCAGCTATCATCATCAAAGTTTGCTTCATTCTTAAAAAACAACTGAATATGTTTCATCAACTTTTGTAAATTATACCACTTGGAATCCAAACTCTTTTCAAATGTATATTCTGGGATTAGGTTTAGTTGTGCCATTATTCTGCAAGTCTTGTTCAACATTTATTATGATGTTCAATAAAAAAAAGTATTAAATTACGGGTTTTACTTCTGGCTGAGATACAAAACACATGTAAGGCACTGTATAAAACAAAAATGTTTTATAGATGGTCCAAGAGAAAAATTAACTTCCTTGCAGGAATGAAGAGTAGAACACTGAATTTTTCTCTTCAGTATCCTAAGAGAATTCTCAGGAGATAAGATCTATGTATGTCCCTATCTATCTGTCCATCCATCGAGGTTCTGATATCAGTGCCCAACACCATAGTATTTGAGCATTTCCTTAGAGTAAAAATAACAAAGATACATCTCTCTTCCTTTCCTGCCAGCTAATAATACTTTACATGCTCATCATTCTAATCTATGCATTCTATTTCAAATAAATAAGATCAATGAACAAATCCTTGCATCTTACAAGGCCTACTATTTTAATTTCTGGTAAGTAATGTGGATCCTGCAACTGCCTCTGTATTTGTGGACCCATGAATCACCTCAATGATTTATATAGCCAAAACAATTCTAACGTGTCTATCACCTTAAAATCTAGGCAGCAATAGCATCTTCATTCAAGGATCTCTAAGAGCTTTATGAATATAAATTAAGTCTCACAACACTTTGAGGTAGGGAAATACTATTCTAGCCATTTTATAGATTTATATGGATTTGTAATTTAAATAATAATTTAAATAATTTAAAACAAAAAGACAGTTTTAAAAATACAGCCAAAAAACAGCCTGCCCCAAACCCGAAAATAACCACAGAAATAACTATAACATCCTTAAAATACTGTCAGCCCTTATCACATTCTTTTCTCTCCAGGAGAGAGAGTAAAGCCTGAGTAAAGAGGGCATGCCTCAAGATTTACCTCAAGGTCAACATATGGACTATTCCTCACCATGCAGGAGAGTGAATTCAAAAGCTGAGGACTCTCTCATAGCATGTCCTACCAACACCAACCCCTCTTTCATGCAGAAGAGACGTCCAGCTTGGGCAGTTCTGCTGTCTGTAACTAGGACAGTATGATCCAAGAGAATGGCAAACTATGGCATAGGCCAGCAAGTCAGTGACAGAGCCCAGAAGAGAATTAGGAGGCGATCCTGATTATGAGGACCCTATACTACATGTGGGGCTGGTAGCACTGCTTATTAAGGTTGCCTGGCACTTCCCATTATAAGATCTTACTCTTTAATTGCTTATAACTTTCCCAAACTGTAAGTTTTTGGGCTGAAATTTTCCATGTCAAGTGTCTGTCTCAGGTTGAATAGTTTTGCAAAATTTCAGCCCAAATGTTCCAGATGTTTCTAAGACTGAGACTAGGGGAAAATACATTGTTTAACCCTGGTAATCTTTTCTTTGAAATTATTTCTTTGAACTCCCAAAGAGCAAGTGATTGTGCTTGTGCCTAGAGTGGCAGTGTCTCAGAAGTGCATTCTCTGTAAGGTCTGCCCCAGCTGTTCAGGGCCAGTGTAGGGCCTGACACTGAAAATGAGAAGAGGGAACCGGTCTCTCCTGTGCTTCCAGTGACACTCCTATTGGCACCCAGGCAGCCAGAATGGGGAAGTCATATGATTTGAATTCAAAAGATAGGAAATGTCAGAATTAAGTATCAGAGGGGTAGCCGTGTTAGTCTGAATCTGTAAAAAGCAACAGAGGGTCCTGTGGCACCTTTAAGACTAACAGAATTATTGGGAGCATAAGCTTTCGTGGGCAAGAACCTCACTTCTTCAGATGCAAGAAGTGAGGTTCTTACCCACGAAAGCTTATGCTCCCAATACTTCTGTTAGTCTTAAAGGTACCACAGGACCCTCTTTTGTCAGAATTAAGGTTATCTGTGCAACCTTAATTCGGCTCCCTTGTGTGTATGTATTACAAGACAGTTTTTAATTACGATATCATATACTGTTGTTTCCATAGGACTCCTGCCTCAGTCAGTGCACAGAATGGTTCTAGCCTCACAAAACCCTTGGTATTATCTCCCTTTTATTCTCTGAGGCACAGAGAGATTAAAGTCAAAAGTATCCATTAATTTTGGATGCCCAATCTGAGATACCTATGAACTATTTTTCAGAGTACTTAGCATCACATAGTACCTTATAACTTCAAAGCATAACTCCCATTGACTTCAGTTGCAGCTGTCAATGCTCAGCACTTCTGTAAACCAGACCCCAGGGTCTGAAGTCAGGCAGCCAGAAAATGAGGAACACACAATTAGTGACCACTGTGAAAAGTTTGGTTTAAGTGATTTGTCCAGCATCACCTAGGAACTCTGAGGCAGAGGCTGGGATAAAATCCAATTCACCAGAGCAGCAGTCAGCTCCCTTAACCAGCAATCCTGTCTCATTCACTACACACTTCCCAACTTCTGCAAGAAATGAGGCTGCGGTTAGGGTGACCATATTTCCCAATACTGAATATGGGACACCAGGTAAACTTACTTGTATTCAAGCAAGTTCAACGGCAATCAATCAGAACTATGCAGTACAAATGTTAAAATTAACATCAAGTTGACAGAGCCCCTGTTAAAAAGAAATACTGCGTAGTTGGATTCTTTTTATTTGCCTTCTTTAAGGCTTTAGGGTTCACATGGGGAGGGATGTCACACACACACACACACACACACACACATTCCCGTACGCCTCTCTCACACAGGAGGGTGACTGACCAAACCCTTCCTCCCAGTGCTCTCTTCCCTACATGCCTGGCTGGGCCCCTAGGACAGGCCCGGCTCTCCAGATACCTGGCACTGCATCTTCCCAAGGCAACACGTGTGTGTGTGGGGAGGAAAGGAGGACACGTAGGGTAAGAATGTGGCCAGCAACAGCCTTTCGGCACTGTGTGGGAGGGAAGGGATGTGAGCTGTTTCCAGCCTCAAGGGAAGAGTGGGTGAGGAAAGGATGATCTGGCCCGTGTCTTTGCATAGTTCATCTCTTCTCCCCACATCCCTTGTGGCTGGAAGCAGTTTGTCCCTTCCTGCCCACACAGTGTCAAAAGGCAGCAAACACCTCCAGGCTGCTGCTGGCCACCAACATAACCCAGCCGCCTCCTGTCCCCCAGCTACAGCACAGGCAGAAAGGGGTTAAGCCTTAAGGAAGCATTGTGCACCAGGGCCCAGGAACCTGACTGCAGGGGCTTCAGTGAACCCAGTCAGAGAGGTGGCTCAGCAGGGGAAATTGCCTAGGGGATGGAGCAGCCCCACGCTCCCTGGGGTCGGGACCCAGTGTGTGTGTGGGGTGGGGTGGGGGGTGGGGGAAATGGGTTAAGAGGGTGCTAAGTCCTTGCCCCGGGGTTGCTGTGGAGCCTGCAGGTTTGAGGTGTGAACGGGCTGGAAATCACCTCCCCCCCCCCCCCCCGTTGCTACTCCAGAGCTTAGCTGAGGGGCGGAGAGGCTTCCCCGTGCCAGTGCTGTGCGGTGCTTTGGCACATGCAGGGCTTGGCTCCTCCTGGCCGGGTCTTGGGCTTTCCCGGGGTGCTGGGCCAGCCGGAAACGGGATGGGGGGCAGGGCCCTGCAGGCCAAGAGCAGCACACAGCGGGGACTGTGACCAGCAGGGGGAGCAGCCGGCCCTGCGCACTGCATCTTCACCCCGCCACAAGCCTTGCACACCCACCCCCTCATCAGCCACTGGACCCCCACACACACCGCTGGTGGGCGGGCAGCTGGTGAGCAAGGATCAGGCCAGCAGCAGGACCCGCCAGTACTGATGGGGGAGAAGGGAACTGAAAATACAGGACAATTTGCCCATTTTTAAGAAAAAGTAGGGACACCTACAGGAGGGCTTAAATATGGGACTGTCCCTTTAAAAACAGGACATCTGATCACCCTAGCTGGGGTCCTACACACAACTTCCTTTACTACACACCCCAATTCATCTCCAGAGCAGGTCCATCCTGTGCACTGAATGAGGCAGGACCCTGAAAAAAAAAATAGTGTGTGACCATGTAATTAAAGACTGTATCATAATGCATAGGCACAAGGAGACTGAATTAAGGTAAACAACATCACAATGAAGACAATTGACTTATACAAGGAGTGAATTTGGCCAATATTTTAAATGGCAAACTCTTTAATAAAACAAGACAATTTGTCTTCATTTTTTATGCTTGTTCTAGCCCAACATCATCAGCATCAAAACACTATGGAACTGTAAAAGAGAAGGTCCTGATCCAGAGTAAAGCAGTGAAACAAGAAAGATTTACATTTAAATTTAAAAGCATATCAGCTAGAATAACACATTTTGCCAAATGTCAAGGTATATTACTAGCTTATAACAAACAAAGTAATAAGGTTGAAAAGACTCATTTTGCACGTGAACTGTAGGCCTAATGAACCATCACTTATTAGCAGAAATAAAGCTGGAGGTGTGTAAAAGGGACACCAGACATTCATTTACTGCGTGATTCACCTGAGTGTTTTTATAATGGTAAATGAGCTGTTAAATGAACTTTCCAGGCACAGAAAGTTCATCAGATAATCCCCACGATAAATGGTCTCACTGAAAAATCCCATCATTTAGGGGATGCAAACTGACATGATCACAATTAATAAGGACAGCATTTCCTAGTTAAAGATTAGCAGATGTGAAATAATGAATGGCTTATTACTGTCACTAAAAAGGAATTTCAAATAATAATGGCTGCTCCTGTTTCTCACATATTCCACTCAACCTCATTTTTGGTCATAAAAATTACCAAGTATGCTTGAGTTATTGGACTCGGGCAATTCAATCTGACTTTC